ACACATAGTTCCACAAGGCAAACTGGCTCACTGTGAAGTAAACCTGCTATTTGTTTATAAACTTACTACATTGTAAGATTTGGGCAGAATCTAACTATTTTATGTCATTTAGTGATTCATTTCCTATATGATAAGAGAAGATTTAAAAGCACTCATTGTTTTCAACATTTTGACCAATATTTATTCTGAAATGCCAGGGTACCCTGATAAAAATGTCAAAATGCTAAAACTGAAGTTTTTTTTCACTAAAAAGTAAAAATTATATATTCTTATAGCTATACTCTAGGTTCAATGGAATGGATTAAAATTTCATCCAAGTGTTCTTAACAAGTTTTTAGCTTTAGCAATAGCAACATACTACTTTCACATTTAAAAAATAGCATAATGACAGTGTATGGTTCTAAGACTGTGGAAAACTTATTATATTCATTTTATTCTTTAGTAAATTTAGGCTCAACCAACATCAAATTAACTAAAATTAATTTCCAGGCTCAAGTTTTTCAACTTCTTGTCTGTTTTCCCCCCTACCTACAAACTACATACACTTTCTTAGATCTTCTAACAGTGCTTACCTAAAACTGGAATTTTACTTCTGAGCATTATAAGGAGCATTTATTTAATATACTGACACTGGAATAAAGCATAAGTAATTGAATAGAATTCAATTTAGAAAAGGTGAAATTTAATTGGATGATAACATTTGAATTGTAGGTGAAGAAGATCCTTGTACATAGAAGATGAAACTTGCAAAAATAAAATTTTGATCCATTACAAAATAAACCCCCATTTATATTTTAGAGGGACCATCTGCAGTCTCACTTTTAAAATGGACAGCCAAGGCAATCCTATGTATTACAACAAATACTGTGAAATTCATATTACTGTTAAGTAAAATTCTGAATCACTTGTAATTTTGTGTTTTAATTCTAATTTGTACTCTTTTTAAAAATAAAATAAAATGGACAGCTTTTTTCATTTTAGAATGGATTCTAATTATTAAATTATAGTCTAAAGGAATTATAGATTAATTTTTAGCAATTTCACCTGAAACTTATGAAGGTGTATTAATATTCCTGTACAAAATAAAATATTTTTCCACAAAGGTTTTGCTGTATATTTTATTTTAGGCTTTAAGAGAATAAATCTTACATATTAATACATTTTAAAGTTTTTGATGCATTTTAAACTGCATAAATATATTTAAGTGCTAAAAATGTATTTGTCCTGTAACATTTACAATAGCACACAGCTCAGTGGGCCGACAGAATGTCCTAAAATTGCAAGCAACTACATACATGCCTCTTGCTTTGCCTGGGACAACTGACTCAAAAGGGGAAAACAGTGGGAAAGGTATGTTACAGCTGAGCGCTCCGTAAGTTTGCCACGGCTCACAGACACCCTAAAATTCGTGCCTCTTTCCTCTCATGCATTGTCAGTTAGGTGAGTTTCTGTTGTGAAACGTGTTTGCAGAATATCTCAGGGAAGTAGACCTAAGCCCTCTGAAGCCACTCTCCAAGCGCGGCGCCAAGGACGAGATGCGAACTCTGCAGCCTCAAGTTATATAATAAAAGAGAACTGAGGACAACCGGCAACGTGGTGAAATGACAGAGTGTGTCTATCTGCCTGGTGTGCAGAGCTGCAAACCTAACTCCTTTATGCTTTAGACGGTGCAGCTGCCTGGTTTGCTGTCGAGTACTTGGGAAGAGACCCGACTTAAAAAATTGAGGATGTGATTAGTTTTGGAAAAACAACTGCAGTATACATTATAATCACTTCTGGGCCATAGAAAAATATCCTTAGCTGGATCTCGGCCCTAACTAGTCAGCTTTAGAGGAGAAAAGGATTTAAGAAAATCTTTTGTTCTTTAAAAAGATGAAAGGTGTACAGAAGCGGCGCGGCCGGAAACTAGAGTGCAGGTTGCTCGCTGCCCCGGGGCTTTAGTGCTCCTGCCTGAGGGGTCAATCGTCTGAGCAGTCCGTAGCTCTGATCTTTCAATTACACCTCAGTCGTGGCAGCTTAGCTGCTCAGATTCCTTGGGTAGCAAAGTATCTTCCTCAGGAGAATATGGTACCATTCTTTGCTTGCGTTTTTGTCAGAGCTCGAAATAGTTGAACGTTTCATCCCCTTTGCTGCTGCAGTATTGACTCTGGGTGTTCTATGTCCTCCCCGCCTCTGTTACCAAGGTTTGGGCGCCTGGGCTCGCCTTGCCCCCTCTTTGCCTTCTGCTTCCGTGCCCAGCAACCAACACAACCTCTTTGGCTCTGGCCCCCAGAAACACCTATATACCCAGTCTCTCTCTCTTGCCCGAGAGACCCAGAAGGTGAGAAATCCAGGGACACCAGAAAAGAGGCTGCCGGGCCCCCAAGAATTTCGATCGACACGCTCTCTTGAGTTGTTGGCGCAAACCGGAGCTCTAGTTTCACACCCGCTAATCGCGAGGAAAACATAGAGCAAGTCACGGTGGCCTCTCCCGCCTAGCCACCAGTGGTGACATTTCCAGCACCCCAGCTAAAACACGGAGTTTGCACCGCAGCATCGCAGTTCCCGCAGCCGGAGCGAGTACTCCTGGGGGCTTCTCCAATTGTTCTCGGCGGCTTCTCCAATTGCTCTCCTAAGTGGAAAAGAAACAGCTCCTTTCGCTTCGCAACCGCGAGGCCGGAGTCTCTGGGAGCTGCGTCTGGCTAGGGAGGCCTCCGGACGGGAGGCAGCTTCTCCGCAAGGAGTGAATAGCCGTTCCCTCAGCCCCGCAAGAACGGACGCTTCCTCTCTCGCGCCCGGGAACCTGGATACCGCGTCAGCAGGATGTTCGCCGGCTGGGCCTGGCGGTCAGGAAACATGAGAAGGCCTCGGCATTCCTGTTCCCGGGCAGCGCACGCCCGTCCGAGTAAATAAAGCCGAGGAGACGGTGGTGGCTACAGGGATCGCGCTGCAGCCCGCGCGGAGAACATGCGGCGGGTATGGGCGCGTGCCTAGCAGCGGGGCGGGGGAGCCAGCTGCGCCGCAGCAGGTACTGCCGGGCTCGCGGGTCCCCTCCCAGGGCGTGGGACGCGGGGCGCAGGACTTTCCTACTCTGCTTCCGCACCCGTCCCGCCCTTCCCCCCACCTCTCTCTAAGGTCCGCTGGGGACGAGCCTCCGTGGCTGCCAGGGCTGGCTCGAGGGTCTGCAGAGAGCCAGGGCGCCCACCTGGCCGCGCCTCCTGGGCTTTAAAGTTATTGGCGGGCATTGGGCGGGGCAGTTCCGCAGGCAGTGAGCTCCCCAGCACAGTGTGGAGTGAATCAGGGTAACTGGGGCGCAAAAGAGCCAAACAGAAGCGCCGCGTGCCCCACGCAGGAGCGGGAGGAAGGATTTAGGGACCGGCCCGACGCCTCTGGCCTCCTTGCAACAGATCAGGCTCTCGGACCTTTGTCGCCTCCTGGATCTGCAGACCCAGAGAGCCCCGGGTATCTGCGGGTGCGTTCTTTGCGTGGAGAAGGTGCGAGGTGGTAAACTGGGTATCTGCTGTGGCTTCGCTAGGAGAAGCACGCAGTTGCCTGTAGGAGGGCAGGGCTGGGAGGGGACAGATGGAGGGGCTAGGGAAAGCACGCCTTTACAAATAAAACAGCATGAACCCAAATCAATGAGCGCCTTGATGGAAAAAGGACGTGGAGCACTAGCTTGCTTTGACACTTAGCTGAGGCTTTGTGCGCTTCCTGGCAAGTATCTGTCAGCCCAAAAGGCCTTAGCCTTAGGGGTCGCAGCAACGCAGCAGCTGGCCGAGGTCTGACAACGGCTACCCTTTAATCGCGGTGGTGGCCTCTGCTGTGGCCTGAGGGCGGGGCGCGGGCTCTGGCAGAAGCTTGGGGGGGTGAGGGGGGATGGAAGGGGTGCCTGCCGCGAAGTGAAGACTGCTGAGGACCAGAGCCTTGCCCTCAGGCGCTAGGTTTCGCTGGGCGGGGCGGAGATCTGGTGCTTCCCCGGGAGCGCGGGCTGGACCCCAACGCCTGCGAGGGGCGTGCAGAGGTTCCAGGCCGCGGATCCAAGGTGAGCTGCAGGATTCGGAGCCCGCAGCCTCCGCTGTGAGGTGCGACGCACCGCCGGCCGGAGGCATCCTTCCTTAGGTCGCTGACACCTTTACATCCCAGAGTTCCCAGCTCTAACACGCTCTACAGAAGGTCAAGGTTCTGGTAGCAGCAACCCTTGGGGGTCGAGAACCCGAACTCAGACCTGCCCTTCCATGAGCGTTCTGGGGCGCACCTGGGGGCAATTGCTCAACTTTGGGAGAGTGCGGTGCCTTTGTCCCGACACCGCTTCACTTTCCGATGCTGACACTCGCATCTAATGGTTCCCTGTTCGCATCCCTTCATTGGGAGACCTTAGCCAGAAGCTGCAGGGGTTTCAGCCAGGAATCCAAGATCTAGAAAACATGAAAATCCCTGAATCCCGGCACGGCATGCGGCTCCTTAACTGGGCCCTGAGGATGCAGTTGCTCGTATTACCCCAAATGTGCCCTTCTACCCCACCCTCTGACTCCTCGAATGGGGGCCCCAAGACGCTTGCGTTGTAACAGAAGGGCACACGAGGTTCCTGGCCTGCGCTGCAGAACTATCCCCATCCCCAGTGCTTTTCTCCGGACCAGGAGGCTCCTTTGAGCATTTTTCCCTTTGCCCCCATAGGTGCATTATTTCTGTTTGAAGCTCCCAGAGTTAGGGATGGAACTTGATGCCCAGAAAGACGGGCTGGGATCTGTCCTGAATAACAGTGTCTGGGTGGGAGGGTGGAGAGCCAGGTAGGAGAGGCGGGGGTTCCCCGGTCCAGTAGCTGCGGGCCTGCCCCGCCCCTGTGCGCCGCAGCTCTGCGCTCTCGCCTAGTCCAGGGGCCCGAAACCTATAGGAATCTGAGCGCTGTCCGGCGGTAACGCGATGCACCTTGGTCTCCTAGAACCCAAGCCCTGTTGCCGAGCTCCTGGCCGCCGGGTGCTGAGGAGCTGTGGCTGCGCCGCGCGCTCCTGCCTGCCGGCACCATGAACACCATCGTCTTCAACAAGCTCAGCGGCGCAGTGCTTTTTGAGGACCGAGGCGCTACGGAACGGGAGAGAAGCGGCCGGCCCTACAACAGCGTCCTGGACAGCCCCCACGCCCGCCCCGAAATGGGCATTGCGGGCGGCCCACCCCTCAAGGACAACCTCGGCCTGAGACACCGCAGGACCGGGTAGGCTACCGGGGTCCTCCTGCCTGCAGCCGAGAAGGATGTACTCGCGCGCCCTTGAGTCCCAAGGTTTTTCCAAGAGGGAAAGTCCGGGTCACCTGGGGTTGCATGTCCTTGTTTTTTGAATTTGGAGTCTCAAAACATGGGCAGCCCATTCTTGAGAATCATTGAAAAGAGGCTTTGGCACAAGACTAAGTCAGGGGTGGGGGAAGCCTACCGGTCCTCCGACACCTGGACCTCAGACAGTCTCTCCCCCTAGTTCATACAGCTGGCTGGCGCAGCAGTGACTGAACGGGATGCGTAGGAGCAGGGTCCCGGATCCTGGGGTCAGGCCTCGGGGGTCTCCTTTTCTGTTCTTGAGCCCGGGACTGGAACTGGGAAGGTCGTCTCTCTGCTGGGCATCTGGGGCGGGCGCTCTGTAGGCCGCGGGTGCCCAGAGGCGAGGCGGGGGCTACCTGCTCACGTGCGGGGCCAGGTCTGGGAGGCCGGGGAGGAGCCGCGGTCCTGGCCGCCTCCACCTGAGCGATTGCATCAGCTACTTGCTCTGCGGCCTTGTTGGTTAATAAAATAGAGATTAGGTTTCGTCCAAAGTTACTACCAGGCTGTTCCGCTGGAATTGCATTTCAAAATGTCTAAAGAGGCAGGCGCCGGGAGGCAGCAGCGCAGGCGCGCCAGCTTCCCCGCCCGGGGTGCGCTGCTTGAGCGCTGCGACACCTCCCGGAGCAGCCCGGGAGCGCAGCGCGGGCGTGGGGTCGGGGCTGCTTCTGCCGCCTCCTTTGAATATGTTTTTCCTGGGGCCATTTAACATTACCTTCTAGGACTGAACTTTCATACTTTCCACTCTGCCTTCATCAGGAAACGGCTCCCCTCGAGTGTTTATTAGGTTGTGTATCCTTGCATAAACCTTTCTTTCTAAAGGAAAGTTGCCTCCCTTTCCCAGAGGATCAAAAGAAGTAGTGGAGACCTCCGACAGCTGGGCAGTTGCGTCCTTTGCTCTATCCCTGACGCCCGCTTAGCAACACTCCCCTGATTGCAGGAGACGGGAAGGGTGGGTGGGGGTTCTGCTCTTCAGATCACTTTAGCTTTATCTCCCAACCCCCTAACTTTGAGGTTTAGAATATTCTCAACGTTAAGATCAACTTAGAGCACTGTGCTCACACCAGTGACGCCTGCGACTTTGCAGGATAGAGTGACTTCCTTCCCTAGCCTTGTCTCAACCTGGGGTGGGGAAGGGTGCTTCTCAGAGCTGGGGCCCAGGCCTCCTTTCCTAAGGGATGGGGACCACGTGGAAGGTCCCAAAGGCGATGCTTATCAAGGCTTTCTCCTCTCCCGGGGTTCTAGAGCCCGGCAGAATGGCGGAAAAGTGAGGCACAAGCGGCAGGCCCTGCAAGACATGGCACGGCCTCTAAAGCAGTGGCTTTACAAGCACCGTGACAACCCGTATCCCACTAAGACGGAGAAGATACTCTTGGCCCTTGGCTCGCAGATGACGCTAGTACAGGTAGGTGATGGGGACTCAGCAAGCTCTGAATCCATCTCCCCTGTTAGTTGAGGAGGACACAGGCAGCGGCTGTCCACGGGGGAGGATGGAGCTGGGTACCCAGGGAAGAGAGGATCCGGATGCCTGGGCTGTGGCTGCAGAGGATGGCGCTGGGTAGGGCGTGGGCGCAGAGTTCTGGCTTCTCACCCTCACCTGTCATCGTGTGAAGGACTGGTCCAGAAGGGACTGTAAAGAGAGCTGGGAAGGTAGGGACTGGAAGGTCCCTGCAGAATTCGAAGAAGGCCCTGGGAATCTGGACTCAGGTCTGATGGGAAAGATGGCACTGTTCGCATTCAGGGCAGAGCGGAGAGGTTTGTGCAGGCGAAGACTCCTGCCCCGCATCTCAGAGTCCCTCATTCAGTGGTCTCCAACGAGATCAATAATTTACATTTCTAACAAGTTCTCAAGTGATCCTGGAACTGCTGACTTTGGGCTCAAAATCTTTGGAGCTCTAGAACTTGAAACAGCATATTGGAGCCCCATATTAAAGCTTAAGTTCGGAATAGCTCTCAAAATGACCATTATTAACTAAGGTGATAGGGTAACTAGGAAGATGGTTAGTGAGTTTGGATACTTCATTCTTTTTGTGGGGGTAGGACCAGAAATCAAACCCAGGAACTTGCACTTGCCAGGCAGGCACCTTGCTGCTGAGTTGTACCCTGACCCAGATACCTTATTTATTTATTTTTTTTTAAATAGAAAGCATCATGGCATTATCTGGAATGCATAGTAGGTCCTTTGCTGCTGGTGCTTTTCTCCTGGACTTGAGGGGAGGAGACAGAGTTCAGATGTCAGATGGTTGGGTTCCTTGCCAAATATGGAGAGATGGTGCAAGGGTGTTTCTTCTCCAGTGAACAAACACTGGTTTACACTGAGCTAGATTTTCTGAACATAATCACATTTGCTATTCAGAAAAATGTAGTGATATAGAGCAGTTATTGTTCATACCTCACAGACAGTGTAGCCAAGATGCACTGATGTGGGTCCGGGATAAAGCTGTAATTTCAGATCAGATGCCTTTTCCATTTCAGCACTGTTTCTTGAGTAGATAGAGTGGCATGGACATTTCCACAAGCAAAGGGCTATAGGCAGAAGAGAAGGAGGGGCAGAATGGACTGGGACACTGTCCAACGGCAGTGCCACATGACTGCGTCTGTGAGATGCAGAGCACTCCGTGGGTGAGGCAAGGGAGGCAAGCACCCCAAATTAAACAAATATTAAATAAAAGAAAATCCAGTTCCAGAGTATCTAAACTTTTCATTTAGGAATCATTTTTTGACAAAGCGTGAAAGCTGACTTGTGAGGAGGCTTATCAAAATTCTAATATGTACTTTTCTACTTATTTTCAGAATACAGCTACACAGACATATCTTTTTCCTTATTAACAGGCAAATGTATTAATAGTGATTCCCAACAGCATTAGAGGGAGAAACTAATGAAAGATTTCTTGGCTTAATATCTGTTCAATATAAAATAACTCCACAATGAACAATCCTTTTGTACTCCAAACAAGTATTGATAAAAATGTTGGAAAAATATGAGCTATTCAGTGATTTCCAAACTAGTTTTAAAGTAAGTTATTATAATCAGAAAAACTTGACTTAGAAAAATAAAGGTGTATAATGACTTCAGTTTAAACATGTGTGCAATTTGAACATATACTAGTTTGTAGTTATTTGAATATTTCACAATGGTACCAACAATGCACCATTACCTTATTTGGCTGCCACTTTTTCATAGAGAAAGCAAAAAAGAAAAAAAAGGTTGACTGTCCTGAAACGTATTTTAGTCATGGAAAAATAAGGGGAGGCATTTAAATTTTTGTTTAGAAGTTTTGTTGAGATTCAACTCAAGTAATTATTTTTAAGAAGAATCAAATTATTTGCTAACTTTAATGACAGTTTGAATGCACATAACAATTCTTTTTACATTTGTATCTTGGAAAGACTATTATGTTTCTCTAATTTACATAAAAATTTCATTTAGAACCCTTTCCTTTCTTGTATACTAGTTCTCAGAAAATAAAAAATGAACAAAAATACATAATTTTTAAATGAGGCAAATATTATTGATAATAACAAATGATACCTGTATAGAGATTTTCAATTTTCACCATAATTGAAGTTGGTTTCTTAAACTTTAAAATAATAAATGCAAAAAGTTAATATGTATAGAATTACCCAAAGTACCTTAATGTATCCATTTGTGTCCACTTATTTTTACCAAGGCACAACGGTATGTCTATGTAAATTTTATAAATATATTAGGGTTGCAAAATGCATGCATATATACTTTATATATTTTATACACATATATGTTTGTGTAATTCAAACATAAACTAAATATTCAAAGTAAATTGGGAGTATGGAAAACTGCATAAATTATATTAGGAGTGTACATCTCTGGGGAAAATATAAAGCTGTGATCTGAATAAAGCTTTTGATCCCTGCAAATGAGACCTTAAGTGATGAGTCAGACTCCCACCGAGTCAGGTTCGCCTGTGCAGTCAGCCTTCTCAAGAAGTGCGATCGGGTCTCGCTTTGGCATCCTCTAGCTGCACCCCCCAGCCTAGTGCTTTCCACGCAGTAAGTCACCCTCACATCTTGGTGGCATGAACAGCTTGCTTCTGACAATAACACAGTGCTCAGAGTGTAACTTTCCAAAGTATGTCTCTGACAACTAAAGGACATCTTGAACTCTTAAGATGTTCTAGTTTAAAAACTCCTAGTAATGGAGGGAATGCACAGACAGTAGCTTGTTAGCTTGAACACTACATGTTAGTTCTGCAGAACAAGCACAGGTAGAACCCATTTTATTTTCAAAATGTCTGAAAATACGTTGTACAACTATGTCTAGAGGCAAATATGATGTGCTTCTCTTATTTCTGTCAAACTTTTGTTTTTCTTATCTTCTATTCTTCATGGCTTATATTAACAAAATGTCTGTTTTATTCCTTAACTGTAAAAGTATACCACATTCGAAAACTTCTTTTATGTATACTTTTTTTCCTTTGAACTGTGTTAGACTTTTCATACACAGTAATTTGGCTACTCTTAGATTGATAAGAAAGAATGTGAAGTCTGGTCAGAAATTTTCCTTGAAGCCTAGAATTAAAAACATGGACATAGTTTTGAGAACTTCAAAAGGTACTTTTTCTTATCAATAGACATTTTATTAATCAAAAGACATTAATCAGTACTCCCATGTGTTTTGTTTTGGAGACATGAAGCAGGGAAATGTTTGTGTAACTTTCACTTACTTCTGCTTACTTGACTGGGTAGATTGTTGTAATTTGTTGTTGCTATGCTCAGCTATGCATAACTTTTATTTGCATTATTAGTTTGACATCTTTTCAATGTGATAATAACATTTTTATAAAATTAAGAGGAAGATGATTTGTGCATGCATATATATGTGTGTACTTTGATTTTAACTGACCAATATATTTCACAGCTGCTTGGTGCCTACAGCTGGTTATTGTTCAAACATTTAAAAACTATACTTTGTATTATAAAAATCTAAACAGATATATTGTGGAATAATATGAAGTTGTATGAGATTAAGGTTCTCTAGTAGGTACATGCCAAGGAATAATATGTTCTCTTCTTATAAACTTCAAGTCTCTATGATTTAGTTGCTAAGACTGTTGCGTTGTAAAGTCTTACCACATTAAAGCTCTACTCTTACTTGGAAAGGAGTACTGCTGCTGAGACAGGTACACCATATCAATTACAAGTCTCACAGTGACGCAAATATTCAGCAAAATCTCAGAGTGTCCCTTACACATTATTTCCAGGATAATACTACATGGAAACCAGTTGTTCGGCATTTCAGCTGAAAAACCCAGAATAAGTGTGTTAATTCATTGTGTTCAAAGGTGCGGGTCCCAGTTTACCCCTGAGGGCTCACTGTAATGCTTGCTCTGTCAGTGTGATGAATGTGAACCCCTCTGTTAGAGTAGGAGGAAAATATTTCAGTTTTCTCTTCCAGTTTCTAGGCATTTGGCTCTCTAAATGTAAAATGTGTGGTTTTTAAAAGCACTGAGTTTAACTTTAAAATGCTGTTCCAGAACCTATTCTTGGTAAAGAGGCCTGTTTTACATAAAACACAGTTTCAAGATACTGCATGACACCCTGAAGGAAGCCATACTAGGTAAAAGATAGAAAATGTAAATTGGTATTTTTACCCTCAATGGGACATGGAGTTTGCATTAATTCATTAAGGAAAAAATGCAAAAAATTCAAATTAATCAATCGGTGATTTGTATCCCATTTTGTGAGACTTATTCTAAATACCTTAGATTATATCTACCTTAGCCTCTAGGTTGCATTGTAATTTCTGGTAATAAAATATTGGAAAAATAAATTTATTAACAAACTGGATGACAGTCAAACTTATGAAATCAATTTAGAAGCAGACTGTTAGACATCAGTAAACCTTTCTGGAAATTTTCCTGATGTATAACTATTATAATATGGTAAGAACTGTAAGTATATAAAACATTAGAAAGGATATGACCCCTATATATGAAAACTATTTATGTGCATTAGAATTATAGTGTACTAATGTTCTTTTTAGAAGGTCATTATGTTTTCATTATATGAAGAGTGCTGTCAGAATGGGGTTTTAAACTGTAATACGTAGGTACAATAAAAGTCAGTTAAGATTGATTAAAAGTTGCAGGCCGGCTAGATAGGTCAGTGGACTAAGTGCCTGCTTTGGCAATCTCAGAGATAAGCGTTTGATTCCCGGTCCCCCAAGCCGTGCCAGCCCCACCCCCGGAATGTGCTAGTGACTGAGTGTGGGTGTGGTGGGGCACACCCGTAATCCTACTGCTGGGGAGGCTGCCTAGTGAGACCCTGCACCAAATACATAAATTAAAAAAAAAATAAAGACTGGTTAAAAATTTATTCAGTCTAGATTGTATGCTGCTTACTAAAGAAAATAACAAAAAAGTTTTGGAGTTGGATGCTATTAAATATGACTGATACGGGCGTAAGGAAACCACCGCGTGTCCTCCCTGCAGAGCAGAGCTGCAACAATCACACATGCTCGATTGCTAGAGAGAGTCGTGGGGATAGCCAGAGGCAGCTTGGTACCAGCAGTAAAGGGAATCAGCACTGATACAGGAAAGCAAGGCTGTTCTCACAGGTCCCGGTGCAACAACACTGGCAGGATATTGGGGATTTTAGAGGAAAGATAAGAACTTTAGGAAAGTTGAACAACCTAATTAAATTTGTATAGCATTTTCTTGACAAATTCTGGTCAGGAGACCAGGTCTCTTGCCATTATACCACAGTTAGGATAGCAGGACATTCATTAATGAAGATTTGAGGAAGTTAATCAATTAGGTAAAAAATGACTGTGAATGCTTGAATTTCATGATGGTTGTTAGCAATGAATATAATCATTATTACTACAAACATGTACTCATAAAAGTAAAGAACTTTAAAACAGATTCAGAAGAATGAAATGGGTGTTGGAAGACTATTATAAAATTCCTAGTTATTGAGAAAGGGGTAAAAAATGCTAAATCCACAATTGAAAATTGCCAATTGTTTTGTAGTACTTTATATTACTAGGTGTCTTGTCTTTTTGAGCTTTTTAGTTAGCTAATGAATGAATACATTGGATGCTTCTGGGTTTTAGTTGAGATATTGTATAGCTTGCATTTTAATTCTTTGGTTCTTTGCTGTTTCTATTAACGCATAGCATTATTTTAATATATGTCATAATACCAAAAAATATAAAATTCCTATAAAAGTCACGAGGATTGGATGAAAAGTTTGGCAGGGAGCTGGGGCATCAGAGGCAAGTTTGAGAATGTGAAGAAAGGGGCCAGGCACTTGAATTTCCATGTGAATGGTCATGTCTGTATCCTGGTTCATCACTTCTCTTTCACTGCTGGTCCATCTGGGCTGCAAGAAACAGAGATTAATCAGTCCTGGCACTGAAGACTATGACTCACATAGAATGGCTACTCAATATAGAGCTATTTGTTGAGCAAATAGTTCCAGAAGTTGCCTAGGCACATTGAAAAGACTAAGCACTTGTAGTCAGACCGAATCATAGTAATACAAGTTCTGCTTAACAAGGAGCGAAGCTGGTGGAGACCGAGCCTCTAAAGTGCCACAGTGAGGTGTTACATCACTGTACATAAGTGTGCAAGGGCAGTGGTCATGGCTGAGGCAGAAGGAAACAGCGCAGAGCACACTGCATTTGAATTTCTGTGGACGGACTATCATGCGTGAGTCACAGAGACAGGGAGAACAAAATATATTTTTGCTTTTCTTAAAATAGAACTTACCACAGTTTCATCCAAAAATTAGGGCTTGAGCAATGTGTAAAATTATGTAGTATAGTATAACAAAAAGAAAAAGAAAATAGAAGCGTCCAGTGACTCCTTTGCCACACAGCCATGTAGTAATATGGGATCATGTTCTGGAACAAACTGACAGAAAGACTTAATTATCTTCCATGTCTCATTCTCTTAAAAGCAATTTTTTCTTGGAAATTTAAAAAATCTGTATTTTGATAAGATTCTGATGTTTTAAAAGAAATCTCAAGTGCAGTTTAGCCTCTGAAAATCCAGTGACACCTTAAAAAAGAACACAGGGGACTTTTCTTTGTTTGGGGGCATCTATTTCTTTGGCTTTACCTGGGTGCTTAAGCCACAGCTGTGTTCACTTAAGCCTGGGGGCCTTTGGCTTGCGCCCTCCCTCTGCTTCCCTGCTCCATTTCTAGTTGTTCGCTGGCTTCTTTCCTGCAGCCCTCCTCCTTACTGCTGGTGGTTTCCACAGCTTGACCTTCGACTCTCTTCTTTTGCCTACTTGTGACTTCTGCTGTCATCTCTGTACTTGTGCCTCTCAAATCTGAGCATTTCCTCCATCATGTTTCAGGCATCTTGTTTTATTTCTTCCTGCATATCTCATTCATGATGACTCAAGATCATCGCTTATTCTTCCTTTTGCTCAGCATCCACCCTACCTGTGCATTTTGACTTATATTTGCTCCTCCTTATTCACCTTGATTAAGGAACATACTTCCTATCCACTCTACCTGACACACTCCAGTCTTCCTTCATTTACCAGCTTAAATTCCTCATGAAGACTTGCGTCTCACTGTAAAATAACTCTTTTTTCCTTTGGGTTCATATATCCCTTTTTTGTTTTTATTTTATTTATTTGTTTATTTATTTATTCATTCATTCATTCATTCATTCATTTGAGAGAGTGTTTAGGTATATTGCCCAGGCTGGTTTTGAACTTCTGGCCTCAAACTGCATGTTCTGGGCTTAGCCTTCCAAGTAGGTGAGCCCACAGGTATGTGCCACCAAGCCTGGCTTCCCTTTGTTTTCATGCCTTTTCTGCCATTTTTCCCACTCACTCTCATTACAGCCTCTTGCTAGAAGTTTCTTAGCTAGGAAAATGGTCAGCTGGAACAGAGAGGCAGGGAGGAAGTAAGCTGAAGTCACGTTTCGTAAGCACATAGGTGCCATCCAGTTAATAAAAAAGTCTTTTGATGGCAAAACCTCTTTATTTTTGTAATTCACAACAAATAGAAAGAGTTCAATTTCTGTCACATGTACTCAGCATTGTCAGAGGAATGATGAGATGTGAATATCTAGTATTCCTAGGTCTGAGTGTGTCTAGAGATGAAAGATGCTGGCAGATCTTTTGTGAGGAAGTAAGTACAGCTTGAGTCATGTTTTTGTGCTTTGTTAATGGAAAAACTACTACTGTTTTAGGTGTCAAATTGGTTTGCTAATGCAAGACGTCGGCTTAAGAACACTGTTCGGCAGCCTGATTTAAGCTGGGCTTTGAGAATAAAGCTGTACAACAAATACGTGCAAGGGAACGCTGAGCGGCTCAGCGTGAGCAGTGATGATTCCTGTTCTGAAGGTTTGTTAATACTTTTCTTTTTGCTTTCTTTTGCTGTTCCTTTGTGATAAGAAATTCACCACCATTACCATTCATAAGACTGACCTCACAAAATAGGTTGGCACCCCCACAGCTTTTTGATATTGTGTGAATTAACTTTATTTTGACACTACTATCAAAGACCAGAAGAGTTATGTCCACTTCAATTTGTTTATAGATTTATTGTGTGTTGGAACCACATTTTCTATGAAATCCACTAAAATTAATATACTATAGGAGAGACTACATAGATGCCTGTCTGCTTTTGCCTAGAGCTGAATCTCATGTACCAGAGATGATTTTACACACTGTATGTGTTCTTCCTAGATGGAGAAAACCCTCCGAGACCACACATGACTGAAGGGGGCTATGCTACTCCAGCTCACCATCCTGTGATTAAAAGTGAGAGCCCAGCGATCAAAGCCAGTGTAAGGCCTGAGTCTCGGGCCAGTGAGGACTACGTATCACCCCCCAAATACAAGAGCAGCTTGTTGAACCGTTACCTGAATGACTCTTTAAGACACGTCATGGCCACAAGCACAGCCATGATGGGGAAAACGAGGCAAAGAAACCATTCGGGCTCTTTTAGCTCCAATGAATTTGAGGAAGAATTGGTGTCTCCATCATCATCAGAAACTGAGGGCAACTTTGTCTATCGTACAGGTGAGCATGGGCTTTTCTGCTAACTGCTGTGACAGCTTGGGTAAAACAGCACTAGACCTGCGGGAGAGGGTCTATGTTGACATGTGTTAAGGCTTATTTGTACATTACTTATAATTCAATTTCAAAGCTTTTGCTTTTAGTGGATATGTTGGTTAGTAGATAAAGAGAAAAATTTCAATTTGAGTAATGATAAAATTTCTTATTCTTAATGATAATTTTAATCTTAATGTTAATGATGTTTACAGGAGATATATGAGTCTAATGTGCTTTATGAATAATTCACAATACAAGAAAGCATTGGATCATTGTCAGTCATGCAAATACTTCTTATTGCTTCGTGTTCCATCTTTTCCCTTCTATACTCTGATTTCTAATACTGATGGAAATTAATGTTAAATACAAATTAACATTACTGCCAAGTTTTTTTGTTAAAGGAAAAGTATAGGCCTGGCTTCAACTGCTTCGGAAATTTTGCTTGTATTCCTGGAAAGCACAAGCATGGTTGATAAATAGCTTTGAAATTTTTGCTTTCATTCCACAAATAATGAATCAATTTCTACCTGTCCAAAACATTCAGATGGAGTAACATGCTTGGTAAAATTTTCTGTCTCGACTTCACTTGCCAGAGAAATTTGCTCTGACAGAGTGTTTGAGCAGGTTGTTTTGGAACAAGGGATATGTGTGACCTACATCTGGTGCAGATAAGGGCCTGAGTCCTGCAAAGTGCCAGCAAATGAGCTTTAATGTTAGATTTGGAAACAACTTCAGAAAGCATCCAGTCCAACCACATTAAATCACAGATAAAAAAAGCCAGACCAAGAATGTAGAAGTTGCTCTTTTCCAGTTGAAGAGTGTAGTTGAGCCTGCGTAAGTGGAGGAGCATGACGACGAGAGGACTGCTGCTGTGATTGTACCTGTGCCTCCCAGCGTTACTAACTAGAGATGAAATGCTAGCACACGGATGCCACACAGCTGTTCCTGTCATTTCTCGTCATATTGAGAAGCCTCGTATATGAATAATACGCCTTTAAAAGAGAATGCAAATTTGGTCTGTTTAATATATCATTAAAATTAGTTCACAAGTTTCACTTTCATATGTCTACAAGTATGTACAAGATGTATGATCAAGAGGCTGGGGAGGTAGCTCAGTGGCATAAGCGCCTGCCTGGCAAGTGCAAGGTCCAGAGCTCAATCTCCAGTTTAAAAAAAAAAAAAAGTGTGTGATCTAGGAAGATTCAGTGAAAGTTTATGTACATTCTTAAACTAACTTTGTTTTCTGTGTATATCTCCTGTTTCAACAATGCAAACAATTTAGGGAAAATTGAGTTCTTTTTAATCTACTTTGCAAAGCATGTGATTTGATAGATCCACTGGTTTTTAATTTTTTCTCCAAATTTTAAGGAAATAATTGATATCTATATTTTAAACATTTTTCTGTAAATGTAAAACTATGTACATGTAAAACTATGGAAAGTACATCAGCTTTTTAAAATGTAAATATTCTAACCCTAAACAAAGTTAATACACTGATATTCTGATAACATGAAAAACATATATAATATAGTAATAAGTGAAGAACAATTCAAAACCACAAAAACACCACATGTAGGTATGACAATGCAAATAACAGTAGACAAACTGACAGGAAATGGCTTTGAAAAAAATGAAATTTATCTTAATGAAGTAGGTTAATTACTGAATGGTTATTTAAAAATAATTTTTTCTGAAAAGATTAAAATCCAACAGGTGAATCAAGTCACAGGCCTTGGGAGTTTCTTCCTACTGCCTGCTGAAAACAGCATCATAGTCCCATGATGTTTACCTGTTCTGGCAAATCTCCTGAAAGTGTATCTCTTTTCAAAGGTGACCAAATGTAAAAAGCTGAGGAGTAACGTGCCTGCACTTCGTGCGAACCAAAGTTAAATATCTCGGCTGCTTCTTTCTATGAATGCATTCCAAATGCACTTGATCCATATTAAGGACTCTTCACTTGCCAAGTTCTATTTTTAAATAGAAGCCTACTTTTTTTAAAGTTATGAAATCAATGAGAAAGCACCTAGACACACAAACTTCTGGTCTTCCTATTAGTAGGCTTTAAAGAACAGACTGCATTTTTATTTCTTATTTGTGTGGATGAAGAACAAAAAAACACTAAAGGTTTTGAGGGGGATCAGACCCAACAGCAAGAGGCCATCTGCTGAGAGCTAGGCGACAGCCCTGTTGCCACTGTGGTCAGCTAATCCAGTGTATACACAGCTAGCATGAGGGAGATTTCAAGAAATTCTTTCTGAAACTACTTTCTGTGTTTTTCTTTGGCACACAGGATTATTCCGAGTTCCCTCAGTCCCATCTGGTTGTATCTCTTTCCTCACCTGAACAGAATTATCTCATAACCATTATTAACTCATCTCCCACCCTGCCTTGCTGTAGTAGCACAAATATTTTACCTGTCACATTTTTTAAGAATATATGTAAGTACATATATATTCATTATCCATTTAAATCCAGTTTATCCATTTATTTTCTAAGAATGTTGCCATCCATTTTTATATAAAAATTGCTCTCAAGGGGCTGGGGAGATAGCTCAGCAGTCTAAGTGCCTGCAAGGCAAGTGCAAGGACCCAGTGCTGCATGCTGTGCCAGCCCTGGAACCCTGGGCACTCCGTGTCAGGCACGAAAACCAGGAGTGGTGTTGCACACCTGTAGTCCCAGCACTGGGGAGGCTGAAAACAGGAGGATCACTAAGAATCTCAGCTGCATAGCAAGACCCTGTACGAATTATATACATAAATGATTTTTTAAAATTAAAAAAAAATTGCTGTCAAGACACAATTTAATAAACAAATGGGATCAAATAACCAAATGAGTTAGTGTGTGGAAGGATGACTGGTTACTGAGTTGTATTTCATTTGTTCTTAATTGCAGGAGAGAGATGCTTTTTGAAATACAAGGCGTATTACTAGACACCATCAAAGTAGATGTATATTTGTACTGATTTTCTATAGACATTAGTTTTTTTAATTAGCAATATTTATCATTGGGCCAGAAGCATAGTAGTTGCTCAATAAATATTGGTTGTAACATTTCTGACTGTGGTATTATAATGTTAGAATTGATCAGAATTATTAATGTCATCACTTCTAAATACAGTTTATTAATGTTCAAGGTCTCAATTTCTTTATTGAATGACATTATCTAAATTAAAATTGCAGTCTGTTTTCATCATGTTAGCTTAACTTCTTGTAGTCATTTTCAGATGTTTAATGGAATGAATTCCCATTCTGAACTGAGATCCATGTACCTGGATGGATACTGGGTGCAGGATAAAGGCTCTGGTCCACATGGTCTCCAGTGGGGTTCTAGAGCATTCCCTTCCAGAGTCTTGTCTAATTTAGCTGCGTGCACACTCGCTCTTCTGTTCTCTGGGTGTGAGTCCTTACCATGCTTCAAGTAGCTTCTAAATGGCTAGGACATTCCAACAGTCACTCTGGTTTCCCCTGCCTGGGTATGATTCATGAATGCAATCTGCCTGAAAGAAGCTGGGTGTTTACACTTCATCTTGTTCAACTGTCTTAATTGGACACATCTGGTGTAGCCGAAGCATGCTGGCAAACAGGTTAGGCTGTTTTCCATGTTGGTGTGAATTAAGCCAGTTAGCTTCCCCTCTGCTAGGTGCAGGTGAATGTTCCTGAAGAAATGGACCTTTTGACAGAAATGGACCTTTTGTGGCCATTTACTTAGGACACTTCAGTAGGTGGGATCCATCTGGGCTGCCAAAGAGGAACTGGAACATAGAAAGCATTTAGGAGGATGACAAAGACCAGCTACCATTTCTTTTCTTTTTTTTTTAAATAATTTTGTTGAGAAACAAATATCAATGAGACAGTTTCAAAACCAATTAGTAGGACAGTTTTAATAATTAATACACTCCATATTACTATCTTAGTGGTTATTCATTGTACAAGATGCAGACATGATATCCTGTCCAAAAACACTATTAGAACAAATCTTTCTATTCATTGAATTAAGAGAAAGTAGCTGTATATCTATCCTAATTATTTTGAATATACAGATACAAAATGGTCCTTCATTTGTATCCTCTTTTTTTGTTTAGTTTTGTCAGAGAAGGGTATTTCATTGTCATTTAAATGTTGCAGGCTCATGAATTCAGCAAAATATTCCAATATAGTCCAGTAGTACATAATAGTAATGGGTTTTCCATAGGACTGGCAATGTCAGAAGTTGTTGACTTGAGCCTTTTACAGCTCAGCATATTAATGTGGCTTTACTTTTTATAACTTGTTTTTATACTTTTCTGCTGGATGGTTAAGACCAAGATAAAGCAATACCGATATAACAAGAAATGTAATTTTTGTATCTGATAAGGTCAGTCAAATCCCCTCAGGATTTATCCTGAAACCCTGTACTGCAGTTTGTAGATCCTTTGTCATTGTCAGCCATGTGGATGAGTTAGGGCCATTGCTTGACCAATTTGCTCTCTGTGACAGCCTGAGAGAATGTTTTCTCTCCATGTGACTCTCCTTAGGCACACTCTACATCGTCCATCACTTTCCTCTGTGACCCCATAATCTACTTGATCAGAAAATTTAGGACACAACTCAGTTACATGATGTTACAGTTCAGGTTCTCCTATGTCCTGAGTCTTCACTGACCTTGAAAGGCTAGGGCCAAAATGTTGGCTGTCCTTGCAGCCCTTCTTTTTCTCTAATATTTGGTCTGCAAACTTAGGTTGTTAACCCTCCAGAGGAGAGGCTTATTATTATTACCCTACAACATAGGCAGCCAGCTACCATTTCTGAGCCTTTTATCTCTTTTAATGATGACCCCGAGAGGGCGAAAATGGTCTTTGCTCCTTTTCCCCTTGTCTTTTTTTATTTTTTTATTTTTTTGTATTTTAGAGAAGGGTCTACAGGGTTTCAGGGTCTGACTACTAGATCAGCCTTGTAGTGGTCCACCTGTTTACAACCTCCCAAGAGCTG